TAGCTCTATAAAATAGAAATAGTATTTCTTCCAAATCCTGTTTACTAAAACCAGTACTTACTGAGACTGTTTTGTAGTTATAGTTTAGCCATATTTCATAGTTAAAACCAGTGTTTCCATTGTTGTTTCAAAATATCTGAAGAGTTCTACAACCTTAGATCTTTAGAAGCAGAACCTTTTAAATTACAATTAGCTTTTTTTTTTTCCCCTTTCTTGAAATACAGTTCAGCAGTGAGAGCACAATGTTTTTTTCACATTAGTTGTAATCCAAAACTATTCTCTAAGAAGGTCCTTAGGATTTTGAAAGAGAGTACATACTGAGGTGAACAGCTGTGGAAAACTGCAGAAGATAAAAATAATTCAGAATCCCTTGCCACAATCCCCAGTAGATTATACAGCCAAGACCAGCAGTATATTTTATTCTTTATTAATATTATCTACCTGTTAAAAGCAGATAGATGTTTGTTAAAACTGAATTTTGTATCAGTTCAATCTATGATTTCCATTCTGCTCATTTTTTTAACTTCTAGTATTTTAATTATCTCCAAATTTGCCTGCCATAATTTCAAGGTATCTACAGGCTGCAGCATTTGACATACTCTTTCTAGGAAAAAAAAGGATTACCTCTGTTTTCCTTGATCTATAATTGATAGAGCATTTAGAATATGTTGCAAATGCTCTCTGTCTCAGTATGTTATCTTTTTAGAAAACCTCTGGATCAAAGCACAATGCATACATACTTGAGGGCATCCAGGGACTGAATCTTCAGGCCTGTAATCTTAGCTGTGAGAGGGGTAATTGACAACAGTCAGTGGTTAAGTAGTGAGTAAGGCCAACAGCTACTCAGCAGAATGTTTCACTAGTCAGAACTCCTCCTGTGTTTATGTGACCAAATGTGTTGCAAACATTTTCATTTACATTAGGCCCACCATCTCATGACTGCCTGGTGCTTGGCTTCAAGCACATTCCGAGGACTGGGGCAGCATCTCAAGTTACAAACCAGTGGTATCTTCCCTACCTCTGACTTAAGCTGAGGCTTTCTTTTCCCAAGTTACCATAAATTAATCTTTAATTGAAGTGACTCATCAGCACGCTCCTCAGCTTTCTTCAGTCCTTCTGAGACATAATTTGTATCAAGTACTGTATGAAGGAATTTTCTTATCTACCTTCTTGGAGTCTGAACTTTTGGATTTCTTCTCTGTGTGATGCACCTAACGATAATGCTGGTGTGATACAAGGGGTAACAATGAGAGCTGACATTTTACTTCCTTGCCCTTCCAAAAGATTTGGGAACAGCATTAAATCTCTTAGATTGATAAAACATAGCTCAAAGCTACGAGAGCTGCAGCCCCTTGGACACTACACAAGGCACACTGTGTACTCCAAAGGGAGATGCAAAGGCATGAATCCCAGCTCTTTAATCCTCATTTAATGTCTGACCTGTGACATTCCTGAAAGCTAACTTTTCAGAAGGAGACTGGACCTCAGCTGTACTGTGTTTTAAAGTTTGGAAAGGGTGATCCTCCTTCCAGAAGCAGCTTTTCCAGGAGGTTCAGGCATGTCTGTGCTTTTCTCTCACCCTTCTCACACTGTGTTAGCCACTGTTGTGTGTCAGGCTGACTGAAGAACAGGTCTGATAAAGATCAGCATCCCCAAAGTGCTTCCTGGGAAGCTGGGTTAGTGTTCAAACAAACTGGTATATAAATAAGAATTTGTGTGTGCTTGGCTGCGTATGTGCTTTGAAAAGACAGCAGAATGTTTAAACTGACATTTTGAAGGAAAATACCACATTTGCACATTTGCTACCTCTGTGAACAAACCTTGGGGGACAAAAGGGAATGCACCTTCCTGGCTGACAGCTGTCTTGAGCTCTGTATGAGCTTATGGAGAGGTACATGAGCCATGGGGCAAGTGCAACTGAGGCATCAAACGCACAGGTTTGGTAGCACAGAAGGGACATTTGGCTCTTTTAGGAGTTAATAAAACTGGAAACAGAGCAGTGTTGAGGCAATGGTAATTACATCAGAAGTGGAGAACTGTTATTGATACAGGTGAAGAATATTGGATTGAATAATATTTATGCAAATATGCATAAATATGAAGAGTCCAAGGAATTATTTTGAAAACATAGAACTTCTTAAATAAACATGCAAAAATAAAGATTGTGTCACTGCCTGGCAATAAGAAGTACCAAATTCAGGGTAAGCTTTATCTTTATGTTGGTTGTATCAACATACTCCAGTGGTGAGCTATGAGTTATCCTTGAAAAATAAATTGTGTCCGCATAAACCAACATCAAAAATAAGCTATTTAAGTCTAGCAAACTGCCAGACAATGTACATTGCTTGTTTAAAAGACCGATTTGGAATGTGCAGTATGACTGTTTTTGGAAGGAGGATGTGATTTGTAACCGCAAATCTTGTTATCTTTAAATTACTGCCCAATTTGCTAACTTTTTTGACTAGTTAGGTCATCGAGCAGCACTCTTTTCCTAGCAATACATCAATATTATACAAGAGAATTTTTGAATGCACTTAAAAAACCTTTGATTTGACTGAATCTCTTCTGTTGCTGGGTTGGAACAGCTGGGTGGTAGATGCACAAAAAGTGGGGAACTGGGCCTGTGAGCTGTTGGCTCCCCAGCTACAATGCTCAGGCACACCCTCTTCCCTGGTTTTCATGGGTTTGCAACCACCCAAGAGTACACTGTGCTTGTCTAATAATTTGTCAGTAAAAAAATCTTGTCACTGGTGTTTTTTACATGATATTCCTAGGATGCTTGCGTTTCCAACTGGTTGTCCCAATCTTTCTATCATAAATTTCTCTGCTTTTCAAAAATATTGTGTCATTTTACTCAATCTTACTTGAAGTTGGTGCTTCCTGTGCAGATGCTTAGCTTTCCCATCGTTGTTCACTGAAACCCGTTACAATAACAGAGAAAAAACCTAAGTTCTTCCTCATCAGTGTGTTCAAGATCAAAAAGAGAGGGGAAGGGGATTGCTGGCACACTGGGATGGTGATTCCTTTTGGATGCTGTGTCTTACTGGGTGCTTGTCAGGGCCAGCTCATCACCACATGAAAAACCTGAATGTACATCAGTCTGTGGGGCCTGATGAGATGCATCCCAGAATACTGAGGGAATTGCCTGATGTAGTTGCCAAGCCCCTCTCCATGATATTTGAAAAGTCATGGCAGCCCACGAAGTCCCAAGTGACCTCTTTAAAAAGGGTGGAAAGCAGGACCCTGAGAAGTACTGACCTGTCAGCCTCACCTCTGTGCCTGGGAAGAACACGGAACAGATCCTGCTAGAAGCTGCAGTGGGCTTGTGGAAGACAGGGAAATGATTCAGAACAGCCAACACTGCTTCACCAGGGACAGGTCTTGCCTCACCAACCCAGCGGCCTCCTGTGATGGAGTGACTACAGCAGTGGACAAGGTGAGGGCTATGGGTTGTTTATCTGGACTGCTGTAAAGCCTTTTACATGGCTCCTCACAATATCATTCTCTCTAAAGCGGAGAGAGATGGATTCGATGCTTGGACTGTTTGATAGATTAGTAAGTAGTTGCATGGGTCCCATCTGGTCAATGGACATCAGTGACAAGTGGTGTCCCCCTGAGGTCTGCACTGGGACCAAGTGCTATTTAATATTTTCATTAAGGACATCAGTGGAGTGATCAAGTGCACCCTCAACAAATTTGCAGATGACACCAAGCTGAGTGGTGTGGTTGACACACTCAAAGGACAGGATGCCATCCAGAGGAACCTGGACAGGCTGGAGAAGCGGGCCCATGAAACTCTCGTGAGGTTTAATGAGACCAAGTGCAAGGTGCTGCTCCTGGGTTGGGGCAACCCCTGGTATCAGCACAGGCTGGGGGATGAACTGATGGAGAACAGCCCTGGGGAGAAGGACTTGGGGGTGCTCATGGATGAGAGGCTGGACACGACCCAGCAATGTGCATCTGCAGCCCAGAAAGCCAAACGTGGCTGCATCCAAAGCAGCATGGTCAGCAGGGCAAGGGAAGGGATTCTGTCCCTCTGCTCTGCTCTGCTCTGCTGAGACCCCACTGCAGTGCTGCATCCAGCTCTGGGGTCCCAGCACAGGAAGGACATGGACCTGTTGCAGCGAGTCCAGAGGAAGCCAGCAAGACAATTAGAGGGATGGAGCACCTCTTCTATGAGAAAAGGCTGAAGGAATTGGGATTGTTCAGCCTGGAAAAGAGAAGGCTTCAGGGTGACCTAATTGCAGGCTTCCAGCATCTGAAGGGAACCTACAAAAAAGATGGAGAAGAACTATTTACAAGGGGGAATGGATTCAAACTGAAAGAGAGTAGATTAGATACTAGGAAGAAATTCTTTACTGTGAAGGTGATGAGGCACTGGTACTGGTTGCCCAGAGAAGTTGTGGATGTCTCAGTCCTGAAAGTGTTCAAGACCAGGTTTGCTGGGGCTCAAAGCAGCCTGGTCTAGTGAAATATATCCCTGCCCATGTCAGGGAGCTGCAACTAGATGATCTTTGAAGTCCCTTCCAACCCAAATCGTTCTGCGACTCTGTGTTTTCTCTGTGTCATTTGGAAAGGTCCCCTGCCAGGTTGCAAATCCCTGTGACAGCACTGGTGTGCATCAATAAGCATTTGCCAACACAGCCTCGTGTCTTTGAGAGCTTGATCTAAAATGAAACATTTGCGATCGGACTTTAAGTTTGCAAATACTCGAAGTCGCGCACGTAGCGTGTATGCAAGTAGAGTGACAAAACCCCTTTTGCAGGGGGTCAGTTGCCGTGTTTCCCAGGTCCAGCAGCTCCGCTCCCAAGAGCTGCGAGAAATCTCCGGGAAATGGCGGGGTTCTGTCTGCGTGTTTACGACTCTCGGGGACCGCCCGTGCCCCGTGCTACCTTCGGGAGCGGAGGAGCGCCGGGAGGGTCGGGGGCAGCGCCACGTCGCACCTCCGGCGCGGGGAGGGAGCGGGCGGCGGCGGGGCTGGGGCGGCGGTGCCACCGCTGCGCTCCGGACTGCGCAGCCCCGCGGCGGGCGGGGGGAGCCGGCGCCGGGGCTGCTCCTCCCCCGTCCCGGGTGGGAGCGCTTCGTCCACGTTTGCAAGTTTGCGGCGGTGGGAGGAGGAGGAGGAGCGGGCGGGCCGGGGCGGGCGGCTTTTCTCCCTTCCCTCTCTTCCTTCCCTCCATTCCCTCCCTTCCCTCCATCCTTCCTTCCTCCCCTCCCCGCCGAGCGCGCCCTGCGGCTGCCCCGCTCTCTGCGCTCCATGGCGGGGCCGGCGGCCGTGCGGCGGCGGGGCCCGGGCTGCGGGTCGCTGCTGCTGCTGCTGCCGGCGCTGCTGGAGAGCTGGGCGGCCTGCCAGGCGCCGCCGGTGCCCGCCGCCGAAATCCCTCCGGACGGCACCGAGCTCGGCGTCGAGCGGCGCTTCGTGCCCGAGAGCTGCCCGCGGGCCGTGCGCCCCGGAGACTTCGTGCGCTACCACTACCTGGGCGCCTTCCCCGACGGCACCCGCTTCGACTCCAGGTCTGGCACAAGCCTGCCTTTGGTTGGGCGCTGTGAGAGGGAGAGGAGGGGAGCCAGAGGTGCTGTCCCCCACGAGGGCGGTTTTTTTGTGGATTGCAGAGATTGTGGCGCTGGGTGGAGGTTCCGTTCAGGTTCCCCTATTATCCCAGCAATGGCCCGTGGGTGCTTTTGGGATGAGCAGTTGGAAGCAGGTCAGCGGTAGGATGGGCAGTGTATACATGCGGGACGTACAGATCACCATGAGAAGATGCCTTTGAGATACGAAGGGCAGAGAGCTGGGGTGTGACTGCTGGGGACATGGGGCAAGACGTCTGTAGTGGCTGGGTCCAGTCTGCAGTAGTTTGCTTGCCCTCTTGGATTCCTACCACGTTCTTTCAGCTGCTTCTCCAGGGCGCTGAATGGAGCTTTTCTGCTCCAAGAGTGAAGACCTCAAGGTTATTCAGCTAGTCTTAGCCCGGTAAACAGGAGTGTATATGGTGTCACAGTCTCTCACAGTAGTGATTTCCTGCCCGTTTCATTCTGTACATTTCCTATGTCTTTTCCAGGCTCAAACCTACTCGAATATGATTGGTTCTGAATTACTATCCCTGCCAGAAATATAGGAATTATCAGGCTGTACTTACATAGAATTTTTTGGATACTTTATCCTTGAATAAATGTGACCTATGTACAGTGAAGTGCCTGGCTGCTTTCCTGCTGTTATTTTGGGATCAGGAAGCCTAAATAGTGGGATCAGGAGATTGTGGAGGATGCTGCTACTGCTGCCAGCTTATTTGTTTTTTCTTACTTCATTCATTGCCACTGATCAAAGTATTATTTAGAAAAATAAAGCAAAATGCATTTTCAGTAATCCTGGTAATCTCCCTTGTGCTTCAAGGAAAATCTACAGCCTTAGGGAAATAACTGTCCTTCAAAGCTCAGTTCTCCCTCTGGAGCTGTCTGTAGTTAGTATGCCAGTAGTGCCATGGAATCAACACTTCTCCGACGAAAATGTGGGATGTGATAGCTGGCACTTCAGCTGGTGTTGGTGCACTGTCAGTGAAAAGGCACAGAGCAGACGGTGAATCCATTGGCAGCTGATGGGCTTGGAACATAAGTCTTAGCTGTGGATGTGGAGACATACGAAGGCAGCATCCTCGTGGCTTGTTTTGTAAATATGTGACAGTGGGAAAACTGGCCATGTGTTCAGCAGTGTGTTTCTGATTGCTGCTTGTGCATTGAGGCAGGGCACCTGGAGGGGCTGCCCAGGTGCTGGCTCTCATTTTAGTTCCTTGTCATTTTGTTCTGAATTGCTTGGGGCAGGAACAGATAGTGCAGAACTGTACAGCATTTATCCCCTTGGATCCTCTAAATATTAGTAAATAAGAAGTAATGGTGATAGTCTAGTCCAACTTGAATATTTTTGTGGCTGCCTTAATTTCAAAAGGATGCAAAATATCAGGTTTGTTCAGCTTGGGCTTTTTTTCTAGATGGCAGCTCATGTTGATGTACACTTTTGTTATTCACTATGATCTTTCTTAAGACTGATGACAGAGTTTAATCATGTTAAGACATGGAAAAATAGGAGGATTTTGTCTTCTGTAGGTTAATAGAAGAAATATTTTGGAGTATTTGTTCTAAAGTCTTTGATGTTCCCTGCCTATAAGTTAAAGAGATTTAGTCAATTAAAATAAGCCCATTTTCTTACCTGTTTTTTTGTTTGTTTGCTTGCTTTTTTTTTTTAAGTTTATGAGCATGCTTACCAACATCAGTTTAATCGAACACTACTATGAAGTCAGTCTAGAAAATACTCTAGATGTTGAGCTAAGGGTAGTTTTGCTTTGTTCCTTCTTCAGCTCTTAAAAATGTTCTTGAGGTTTAAAATTAATTTTCTGTATTTCCAAGGAGCAGGTACCAATACTGCTCCTCATGTTACCAGGCTGTTGACAAAGTTTTAGTAATCATGTGTTACATAAATTAGCATATCATTGTCATTAGCTGTTTGTAATTTTTTTTGTATCAGCATTTGCAGTTTTTATTCCAATGGCCATAAAATTATTTGCATTTAAAAGTCTGAATTTAATTGCCTAGTCATCTCCTATTAATTGGTCAATTCCACTAATAGAAGCAAATTTTGCTTAGTTTTAAGGAATCCGTAAAGTCAGTCCTGCAAAGCTGCATGGTCTGATCAGTGCTTTGTTCTGTTCTCTGCTTTGCATCAGTGTTCTCTTAATTGTACATTTATTTTACTAAAAAGAAAGCTCTTCTGTTCTAAGTTCATCCCAGATGTATTGCCAAGCTTTGTCAATTGCTACAAAATACTATTTTGGAGGGTTTCTTAGAATCTATTATATTACTAGTCTTAACATTTAAATTATGGTTTTGTGTGTATAATAGAATTTGTCAGGGCCTAATTTAAATATTTTCCATCCTTTCCTGGGAGTGGGAATGTGAAATGTGAAATGCTCAGTAATAGAGGGTTGTCTACTTTTAAGAGAAATGTTTGTCAGAAGAAAAAAAAAAAGATGGAGCAAACAGAGAGTTCACTCAGTAAAATATTTGAGAGATTCAAGGCTGTGGGACTGTTAGGAGGCTCAGTATGTTGTGGAAGTGATGTGTACAGTCTTGGAAGGAAAGTTTGACATCATTTCCCTAGGGATGTCTAGCTACTGGCTGCTTTCCAGAATTTTAGCATGCAAAAGGCACAAGCCTTTTTTTTTTTTTTCCCTCCCCCCAGGTCTGACTTTTATATATATATATATATAAATGTAAACAAAAAAGTCCTTGAAATTATAAAAGGGATTTGGGAAAATGGAAGTTGTAAAAGATTAAAAATAAGCATGAAGCTTTTGAGAAGCTTCTTGACATGTGTTTATATATTACTTTAAAAAGTTCAATAGCATTAATTCAGGCACATCAAAGTGGGGTCATTGTGCAGATTTAAAGTGGCTCAACAAACCATGTAGGGTAGTGTTCTGCTGTGGTAATGCTGCTGTTCTCTATCCTCTCTGGAAAATGAAGTCATTTAAGCATAATTTCTTTTATCTTTTGAATATTCATGTATCATCACAGAGGAGAATAATTTGTTTCTTGATTCTTGGTCTGGCAAACCTGCCATTTAAAACGTCTTTGTGCTTTAAATGTTGGAAGTGAAGGAGAAAATAAATAACCTGTTGGCAAATCCCACAGCTACTGCTTAAAAAGGCATCTTTTCCCTCTCCCTTTCTCCCGCAGAGATTGGAAGTGTGATGTCTCACATTGTAAAGCTTTAGGTCTTACACAATATTTTTGTGATGTTACTGACTGAAATCAATATGCCGAGATCTACTGCGGGAGCAATTATCCTTTCATATCTCATAACAGTGTTTAATTTTTCCTTTTCTTCCTTAATTTTCCAGTGCTGCTTTTAATGTCAGTGTGTCAGTTAGCTGTTTGTAGTTCTGGCCTTCATGGTAGTACCCATTGCACTCTGCTAGAATGTGTTTTGGATAGGTGATGAGCAGTGAACAGAAGGAGAACTGTGTTGAAGTCTCAGGAACACCCTGGATTTGCCACTTCCTTTAGGAGCTGATCCTTTAGGCGCTGATCCTTTAGGACTGATCAAGTTATGCTGACGGGGCAAGAGAGAGACACGGTGCAGTTAAATCTCTCTCTTTCAAAAAAAACCAAAACAACCAAAGAGTGCAAAGGGATGTAAATGAACCACTAACATTCTTGCCTGCTTTTCCCCCTTCAGCTATGACAGGGGATCCACATTCAACGTGTTTGTGGGCAAAGGTCAGCTTATCGCTGGGATGGACCAAGCTCTGGTGGGCATGTGTGTGAACGAGCGCCGGTTTGTGAAAATTCCCCCTAAGCTTGCCTACGGGAGTGAAGGCGTCCGTAAGTACAGCACCGGGCCAGCTGCTTGGGTAAGGGATTCCACAGAGCAGATAGGAAACGGAGCAGCAGAAGAGAAGGGTAGGAATGCAGGTAGTGAATTTCTGGGAGGTTATCCCTTGTTCTTCAGAGGTGTTTGTTAAGCCTGTAGCCTAAAGGAGTCTCTCCAGACTGCCTCTGCGTGCTGAAGGAAGAGCAGTTTGCTGCAGAAGACCTTCAGGTCCTTCACTTTTGCTATGAAAGTTAACTATTTATTTATATCTACCTCCCTCTTAAATACTTAATTAAGCCAAAGTTGTGGTTTGGCGTTGCAGTGCTGCACAAGATCTTGTCAGTTCCAAAAGTATCTTTGTTCTGAAGCCTCAGAGAGGCAACAAATGCTAACTCAAGAGAGTCTGGCTGATGGACAGCTGTAATAAGAGTTCATCTTGCTGGATTTCCCCCCAATAAATAGCTGCAGCAATGGCAAGGGGCCAAGAAGCTGTAAGCACAACAGGAAATAAGGTGTACATGATGCAGTTTTTTTAGGGTATGCATGGATTGGTTCCTTTTCACTGGTACCTTGTATAAAAAGGGAAAGAAAATTGTGTGTATTGTTTTGCTTTTGCAGCTGGTGTGATACCCCCCAATGCTGTGCTCCATTTCGACGTGCTCCTGATAGATCTGTGGAACTCGGAGGACGAAGTGCAGGTTCAGACTTACTTCAAACCTGAGAAGTGTCCTCGGACAGTCCAGGTGTCTGACTTTGTACGGTACCACTACAATGGAACGTTCCTAGATGGGACCCTGTTTGATTCAAGGTATGCAGCTGGGTTGTGTCTTTGTGTAGTTTCATAGGTATCTCACCATCATTTGCTCCCCTTTTACCTGTGTAACAATTAATGCTAACTGCCCAGAAACACAGGAAATGACATCTGGCATTGGATGTATGTTAGTAATTTTTTCAGGGATTATAGGATAGCAGTACTGACTCAAACCAATGAAACTGTGCATTATTTCTTTTTGGGCATTACCAATCCGGATGCTTTTTAAATTCTAAATTTCGTTCCCTGTATGTATATTACTATTTATTGAAGTCAGTTAAAAGTCTCTATAACAAGTATAGCTGTTCAGATTACATACAAGTTTTGTAAACTTAGCAGGGTTTGTAATGAAAGTGAGCCACTAACACTTTCTTACTGAGATTTTAAGTGTACAGCATCTGTGCTTCATTAGAACCCAGTGGAAAACGATGCTTTAGTAACAGCTGCCTGAGAGCTACTTTCCAAAGCCTCTGTGAGGTTCCTGACATAGCTAGGCACTCTGGAAAACTTCCCAGCCAGCCCTTGGCAAATGAAGGACAGATACTTTTGGACTAGCAAGTTATGAGTTACACATACACATTTACACACAAATCCACATAGTATGTGGATTTAAAGGTTAATATTGTTCTTTCCTGTCTGACATTTGGTTGTGATTTTTTTTTCCTTTTTCATGTTTAGCCATAATCGGATGCGAACTTACGATACCTACGTGGGAATCGGATGGCTGATTCCTGGTATGGACCAGGGTCTCTTGGGAATGTGCGTAGGGGAGAAGCGCATTATCACAATACCGCCTTTCCTGGCATATGGAGAAGATGGAGATGGTAAAAGTTATTCCTTTAGTTGTTCCTCTTTTTTTCAATCCCAAGTCATGCATATTTTAAAACAAACTTTCTGTATTTTAAATTATTGCCCTGTTCAGAGAGACACTGCTTAACAGACATACTGTTGATACAACTGTAGTATTTATATACTGAAATTTTATTTCAGTCAGGGAATATAATCTGTGATTAATGTCTAGTGGCACCAAACACTTGAAGACGGGTGACTATATAATCCTTTAGACTGCCATAGAAAGCAGAAGAATTTTAAGAAAAAATATGTTAAATGTATTTTTAATTCCAGATGGGTTTTGTTGTTTTTTCTTAACAAATGCCCTAGTGGTAACTACAAAATAGATTGTCTTGTGAGACTGTGCAGCCTGCAGATCATACATAGATGTCCCCATGTTAAATAATGGGGCAGTTAGGTGTAGTTTGTGACTTTTCCTTATATTCTCTCTCTGCTCTGATGTTTAAGGATGTGCCTGTGATGTACAAGGTTTCATACCCCTTCTGTGGCTTCATTACCATTAACTGTGAGGCTACCATTAACTGAAGAGCCTTTGTTTTCAGTGAGGCAATGCCATCACTGTGGGAATAGAAGAAAATTACTCATTTGGAGAATTCAGTTAAAAAAAAAACCCTGAACCAAAAAATGGCTGACTAGAAGCAAATTTGCAGAGAGACCTGGATAAATTAGAGGACTGGGCAATCACAGCTATATGAAATTAAGCAAACTGGATTCTGCACCTGGGATGGGGCAACCCTGGTTGTGTGCACAGACTGGGGAATGAGAGGCTGGAGAGCAGCACTGTGGGAAGGGACCTGGGGCTCCTGGTGGATGGCAAGTTGGACATGAGTCAGCAGTGCCCTGGCAGCCAGGAGGGCAAACCTGGGGAGCATCAGGCACAGCATGGACAGCTGGGCAAGGGAGGGGATTGTCCTGCTCTGCTCTGCACTGGGGCAGCCTCACCTCAAGTGCTGAGTGCAGTTTTGCGTGCAAAAATATAAGAAAGACATTAAGCTATTGCAGAGAGTCCAAAGGAGGGCAGTGATGGTGGTAGAGGGCCTTGAGGGGAAGCAGTGCAGAAAGCAGCTGAGGTCACTTGGTCTGTTCAGCCTGGAGAAGACTGAGGGGAGGCCTCGCTGCAGTCTGCAGCTTCCCCATGAGGGGAACAGGAGCGGTAGGCACTGAGCTCTTCTCTGGTGACAAGTGATAGGACCTCTGAAGTTCTGTCAGAGGAGGTTTGGATTGAATGTTAGGAAGAGTTTCCTCACTCTGAGAGTGGCTGGGCACTGTAACAGGCTCTCCAGGGAAGTGGTCACAGCCTGACAGCCTGACAGAATTCAGGAAGTGCTTGGACAATGCTTTCAGGCCCATGATGTGACTCTTGGGGTGCCCTGTGCAGGACCAGGAGTTGGACTGATGATTGAAGTGAGTCCCTTCCAACTCAAATAATCCATTATTCTAATTTATTGTGGGAGGGGAGGTGCTTGATATTTGGCAATACATTACTTTTCTTCAACAAACATGTTTAAGTTTCTGCTAGAACACCTGCTGTTTCTCACCAATTTTCTGCTCTAACACTTTTGTAGGTAAGGAGATCCCTGGCCAAGCTTCCCTTGTCTTTGATGTGGTTTTGCTGGATCTACATAACCCCAAGGATGGTATTGCTATTGAGAACCAGCTCGTGCCTGAATCTTGTGAGCGGAGAAGCCAGACAGGAGACTTTCTGCGATACCATTACAATGGCACACTTTTGGATGGCACATTATTTGATTCCAGGTAACCAAAACATTCAACTCTACAGACTGCATTTCCAGTTTGACTGATCTGTCGTGTCTGTAATATGTTCAAACACAGTTATTTGCTTTTCCTTCCTTTCTGAAAATTTTGAGTGGACGTGGAGTCTTTTTAAAAGACTCATAAAAAATTTTCCATATGGGAAGGAAAAGAGCTGTTTTGTGCCATGTCATTGTCACAGACGCCATCTAGGGGTAGTGGCCCACCCAGTGAAGCCAAGTGCTTTAGGCACACAAGCCTGAAGATTCTGCACCATAGGGTTTATCTGCCAAACAGGTAATACCACTGAAGAGAGAGAAAATTATTATGATGCCATTTTATGTCCTGAGAATTGTGAGTCAGTGTGCTAGTGGCTAGTGTGAGGTTTGTCATATTTATACTTGGAAACTTCTTGCATTTTGAAGGCTGATGTCTTTCAAGACTGAATTATAGGACTGCAGAATTCAATAATAGGGCTTTCTGTGGTACAGGGGGAGGGATTCCTGTGACAGTAAATTCAAAGCTCTATGGGAACATGAGCCTCGTGTACAGAATCATATGAGTAATATCCTTGTAGATTTCTGTGACCTGGGCTGCTTTTAGTGGAACAGTACTTTACTATCCCACTCCAGCTTTCAGAACAGTTGGCAGAAGTAGCTAAAAGGAGGTGAGAATGAGCCAATGTAAAGTGTTTTACAAAATAAGCTCAGTGAAAAATGTTTAGCACTACTCAGCAGCCATCTCTGTAGACCTTGATTTACAATTTGTGAAAGCTTATAAGTTAAGAACTCACAGCTTATCCACAGTGTACCTATTTATATTTTTTGAGATATGAGTATCTTCCCCAGTAACTAATCAGTTTTTGAAAATAGCTGTAGTATTTATATGAGGGTTGTTGTCAAGATATAGTAATAAATGCTTTGTCAACAGCAGCCTCTACATCATTCTGAAGTGCTGAGAGTTGTTAGAGAGCTTGTTCACTAAAACATGGTATCCTGACCTCCTCCAGAATTTATAAATGGAGAAACAGAGCTGCTAACAATAGGGATTGAAAACCCTGGAGCTATCCAGGACAACGTTTCTCACTAGTACAAGGAGCATGCCAAAAGCTCTCGGGATGGCTGGGGTTGAGAGCTCTAATAATATTTTCCTTTGCCTTTTTACTTTGAAATATTCGGCTTCAGAACTGCCCTGGGCAGCTCAGCCAAGGCTGTCTGGACTTAGAGCAGTTGAATAAACCCTCTGAATTACATCAGGGTCTGGTCTTGTATTGGTTTAATTCTTTCCCAGAACTACCTTGTAAAGATGAACTAAAACCTTTCTGCCTTCTCCTTCTTGGGCTGTGCCTTTGTGTAACACGCCTTGAAGAAGGGCAGAAGACCGTCATGCCCACGTAAGAAACATCATTTGTAGTTGTAGCCTTGTTTTGTTCTATCATGAGGTGTTGAAGCAGGTCCTGCCACCTGTGTGTTAAGTGGCTGGCTGAAGTGTTGATATGGTTTTGTTGTTGTGACTCATTTTAATATTGAGCATCCCATGAGAACCTAGTTATCCCACGTGCTCCTTCTAGTAGTTGAACTACATAGCTGTGGTTGCAAAATGAGGTAGTCTGCAGGGTGTCTCATGAAAATGAAGCGCTTATCAACCATAGCTAGTTGATAAGTGCTTATTAAAGTAGTTTCAGGGCAGAGGAAATTTTAAAGGAGTAAACCTTCTTTTTTTTCAGTTACTTGTCAAAACCTGTTTTCTGTTTCATTTAAAATACATAAATAAGTGTGATTTTTCTTTCTAGATACAGTAGAAATGAATTTGCAAATCTGCTGGCTGTTCACTAGCCAGGGTCTCAGTGCTGGGTAATCAGTGACCCGTGTGTTACTGACTGATGAAACTTGGTGGCCTGGATTCATGGAACGTAGTTCCTTTGTGCCTCCCTGGTGCTGGTTAATGACTGTGTGTTTGACCTTAAATGGTTTAAGAATTGTGTTGCAGAGCTATTGCAAGAGCCCGTGATTTCTTGAGTGCACCTGACACTGCTGAAATGCAAATATTTTCCGTAGTTATTCCCGAAACCGTACATACGACACCTATGTTGGGAAAGGTTATGTGATTGCTGGAATGGATGAAGGCTTGCTAGGTGTATGCACTGGTGAAAAAAGAAGAATAATAATCCCCCCTCATCTTGGATATGGAGAAGAAGGGAGAGGTGAGCTTGGCTTTGCATTCAAATCTTCTGTAGTTAAACCTTTATTACTTAGTTAATCTGTCTGTATTTTCGTTTTCCTGGCATTTGAAAGGTTTATTAATTAGTTCATTATTTTCTTCATTATCAAACTGACAAGACCACATCCAGAATTTGCAGGATTATTTTGATTAGCTAAATAGGTAGGACAATAAAATACAGAACAATCTCACATGTAACTGGTAGCCTGAACTCATTTGGGTAGTTGGTGTTTCAGGCAGACTGGTACTTGGATGCCAGGAGCTCTGCAGTGTGCGATCTTCCTTGCTGCATGTCTTAAACTCTCTATCCGGAGGGAGTTCATCACGTAAAGTTTTCTTCCCCATTCCTTCCACAGCCACAGGTTTTGTGGACTTCTAAGCCACCTCCGTAATGATGGATGCATGTAACAGCGGTGAAGTAACCACGTATATGTAACATACAATTAACATTTCTTTGGGAAAACTCATTGCTGTCTAAACAGATAGCTGGGAGAGGCTGAATGTGATAACTCTTCTAGCTGATCACAGCGTTGTGGCTGGTGTTTCAAAAAGTGCGTCCTGGGATGTTACTTGGATAAGTGATTTAGAAAAAAAGCCTTTCTTGTGGGAATGCAAGTTCCATGCTGATGATTTGGAATTAGACTCCTTACTGACAAACCCCAATCCTAGGCCTGGATGTGTTTTGTTAATCCTGGTAATGCACATAATCCTGGGAAGAGGGGGAAGAAGTTGCCTGCTTTTAGGGTATTTTAAGGAACTGTATCCTTTTACATTTAATGACGTTCCTTGAAACAAGAGTTCTTGAGAATTTTGATGATCAGTGTTGAATTGGTACGTGAAACACAATTGAGTTATTTAGGATAGTCCCAGGAAATACATGGCTATTGCTTCATTTGTGCATAATTTTAAAATTCAGGGTAACAAAAGTTTTTCCTTCACCATTGAATGGAGTACATGCTTAGTGCTTTCTCACTGGTTGTCTTTCCTACACTGGATGCAGCTTGCATCTGTCACATCCTTTAATTCTGAATGAGAAGAGCAAAATGACTCAGTAGCAGGCGCAGCAGGAGTGCATATTCCTACAGGGTGCAGTACCTGGACATCATCTGCCTGTTTGGGTACCATTTCTTTCTCTGTTTGTCTAATTTGCTTCCTGTTTAGGAAAGATTCCAGGATCTGCAGTGCTGGTGTTTGACATCCACGTGGTGGACTTCCACAACCCCTCGGATTCGGTCAGCATTACTGTTCACTACAAACCTTCCAACTGCACCGTACTGAGCAGGAAGGGAGATTACCTGAAATACCACTACAATGCTTCGCTCCTGGATGGAACCTTGCTGGACTCCACGTAGGTATTTGAATGATCTTGTAAGGAAAATTCTCCCAGCATCAGAGAAGGCAAGAATGAATTCCCTGCAAAGGAAGCTAGCAGGGAATAAAGACTTTTATTTTATTTTTTTTTTTAATGAGTATTTATGTAGAATGTATTCTTCTCTTTATGGCTGCCTGGCAAAGGTGCATAAGAGGAGGAGACTTTTAAGGCAATCTGTCATAGCATGATGAGAGAACCAAGAACAAAAAGGATGTAGCAGTGTGTTGGTGAAGAAAGTAAACAGTATGTGTGGAGTGATGAAACTTGTTGCATGGCATTCTGTTTAAATGGGCCAGTTCAAGTGTCTGGGTGAGTCATGCCAGGACAACACAGGTCTCACCATGAATGAACTGTCCAGGTTTGTTCAGTTTCTTGAGTAGGATTTGTGCTCTGTATTATTGTCTCTGATTCAGTGCTCCTGAGAGAGGTCTGTTGTTGTGGTCTTGTTAAAGATACCTTGAGTGTGGTTTATAGTAAATGGTCACCTGTCATGTCTGTAGCACACATTGCTGCTCCTGTATTGTAGTGTGGCTTTAAGTGTCAGCATGGAGAAACTGTCAGAGGCCTTGATTGTAACTGTGAGGATAATATGTCTTTTCCTCCTCTCTCTTGGCAGTAGATTTATGAGGGAAGCAAAAGATTTGCTCCAGTCTGTCTCCTGTAGCACTGAAGTGAGCCTGGCACACAGCTACAAGAGTATTTCTGTTAGCTTCCTTTTCTTTTTGCCTTAATCGTTTGAATAGTGCAAGTCATCCAAACAACATTTTATATTTTGGAAGGGAAGTTGGGAAAAGCTATTTTTAACCAGGTTATAATTAACACAGGAAGTAGCTCATAAGTTTCACAGTGTACACAATAGCTTGCAGAGCTGAAAAGCTGCCTTAATTTGGAGCACGTGCTGCTATGCTGTAGGCAAGGATGTATACAAGTGACGTGTTTGGATTCAAAACAGTTTCTATGTCAGGAATGCTCAATTTCCATTTTGTAGCAGGAACCAAGGGATGTCAAGACCATCTTACTCACAGCAGTTTTTTGAGAATGAAAGATCATGAATCATGTGCTCCTAATTTTAAGGCTGACCTCTTAGCCACTGAATTGTTTTCTTTCCAAATAATACTGTGTTGTACAAGCATGTCCTGCAGAGGCACAGCCAAGCCAAATAACCAAAGAAAGGCAACCAACAGAATAAAGAGCCTTAATGCTGCACACTCTGCCTTTAATATCACAATATATGTTCGACTTCTGGGCTTTTAACTGGTGGTATTTTCTAATTTTAGAAATAAGCCACAGGCAGCAAGGTATAATTCAAAATTTAATATGGTTAAATAGCAGTAGTAGTAGTTATTCGTGCTAATAGCTACTACATTACAGTGACTGATTTCATTAAAGAGATGGCTGATCCATGAGAATGCACTCAGATCCCTCTATGGAGTTGGTGGTACTGGGATGAATGTACATCTGGAATTCTTACATCTGCTGAAAAGTCCAATTACAACAGTTACAAATATGTGAAAGGCAAAAGCCCTTATTTCAAGATAAAATACCTTGGAGTTGTAATTGGCACAATTAATGATTTTAATTTGATTTCATCCAAGAAGCCTGTAATTTTAGTGCCAGAGGACTTGTCTGTTTGGTGCTGGCTGTAACTTGAGAACAAATTCAGGTAACTGTTTGGTAGAACAAAGCATTGGGTATTAAGTTAATTTTTGACAATGACAGGACACTACTAGAAACTGCTACTTCCGTGGTAATTTCGAACAACAGAAATTTTCTATTTTATGCTGATTTTAAAATTTATTTTATTTTTCCTTCCTTTCCAGACACAGCCTTGGCAAGACCTACAACATAGTTCTGGGATCTGGTCAGGTGGTGTTGGGGATGGACATGGGCCTTCAGGACATGTGTGTTGGGGAGCGGCGGACAGTCGTTATCCCACCTCACCTCGGCTATGGAGAAGATGGTGTTGGTGAGTGCACATGCACTTAACATCTCTAGGGTGACTGAAACACAGGCATGCATGTTTTATTAGCTGCTTAAGTGGATTTTTTTAGAGGTTTTTCATGTCCTTATTTTAGACACTCCCCCTCTTCCCTGTTCCCCAGTGGACATGCTGTCTGTGTTGCATTTCAAATCATGCTGCTGCTGTGGCCAACAGAAAGACCGTCAGAGTACAAAAGGGAGCACGTGCCCCCAGTAATGTTGCTTTCTCAGAACAGAAAGCTCCAGGCAAGTCTGGTGTTGCAGAGGGATGCAAACACAGTTTTCCATGATAGGGAGTTGGGTGCTTGTATGTGGACATGTGGCATGTTATTCAGGAGACAGCTGCAGGGGACTGGTCAGCCCTAATACATAAACCGAGTGTAAGATGGATGTGAAACAGTGTATTGGTGCAGTTAAAACTCCCAACACAAATACATTTTGAGGCAGCTTTAGGGCATTAAGGCTTATCAATTTTTAATGACATGGACAGCAGTAATAAAAAGAATGATATAGAAGTGACAAGAACTTTTATGTCCAGGTACGTTATTTCTGGTCTTGCTGGTTAAAAGTTTGAGGGAAAGGAGTCTATCATGAGATCACCAAGATCACCAATTTCTGATGTGTATGGAAACAGTTGCATAAATAGCTGGGTTCTTTGAATAGCTTCAGAACAGTTTGTAGTTTATAAAGACTGTCAGGCATCACATGCAGAGCTTAATGGAGAATTAATTTGCGTTAAGAGATAAGAATATATTTCCACTTGTACCTGTTTTCTGTGAAAAATTGGGAGTTTAATATATATACAATGGTTTATACAAGATTATATCTATTATACATTATATGTAATTGCTTAGCCATACTTAAAAAATTAAAAATTTCCTCATAACATGAAAAGTCTGCTGTGTAAAATACTTGTCATAAGTATTTGCCATTGTTCCGGGTACGTTTGATACACGTTCTGAAACATTGCATGATTTGTTACTGTGTTGGTTTATACCCGGCTATCCAAAGAAATTGCTTGTTTGCAGTCTCTTGAAAACAGATTCGAGGTGAGCTTGATTTTTCTTTTTCAAGACTAAATTAAACACCTTCCATGGTTTCCCTGAGGTAATATCCCCAGCTGTAGAGTCACACAGCAGGACGCTGATACACAGTGTATTGGTGAGATAAAGGAAAATGGATTATTCCCACAAGTGTAGTTTTTGAAAGTAAAAAAAAAGGATGCAGTTTGAATCACGGAATTATAGAATGGTTTGGATTGCAAGGGACCTTAAAGATCAGCTAGTTCCAACCCCCCTGCCATGGGTAGACACCTTCCACTGGAACAGTTTGCTCAGGGCCCCACCCCAACCTGGCCTTGAACATTCCTAGGAATAGGGCATCCATGCTTCTGTGGGCAATCTGTTCCAGTGCCTCAAGTTTTATTATGAAAGGTTCCTTTTATGATCACTCTTGGTGAAGTGATCAGGAAGATTTGATGGGCTAGGGATCACACTAGAGAAGTGCCTTTTGGAGCAGGAAGATAAATTTAATTGTGGATTAAAAGGAAATATCCCCTTCAATGTAAGTGAGAATAAATACCCCTCTTTGTCATTTGTTGTGACAGAAGGAGAAGTGCCTGGTAGTGCTGTATTAGTTTTCGACATCGAACTGCTGGAATTGGTGTCTGGCTTGCCTGAAGGATACATGTTTGTATGGAATGGGGAAGTCTCTCCCAACCTTTTTGAAGAAATAGATCAGAATCATGATGGAGAGGTTCTTTTGGAGGAGGTAAGCTGAGATGATGTAAACACCTGCAGTGGTTTTCTTCTACCACTATCAATGCCAGTGTTGAAGGATGGAGTCTTGCCTCATTTTCTTCCCTTCTCCTTCTGGAATAGTGTTTGTCATCAAGGGAACAGGGAGGCAGGGTATCAGCTAAAACATGGCTATTCAGCTTTAGAGTTAAAGCAAAAAGGACTGTGGCCATACTGAATGGCCATACTGCATAAGATCACTTTCTATTGTGGTTTCCTTGGTCAACAACAAATCCTTAGGACATAAGTGCAAGAGGCAGAGTTGGTATCCAACATTTCTTTGCTGTATCAGCCTTCTTGGTTCTGTCTCAGTGTTAATTGGCAGTGTGTGGTGAATTCTTGAGCCAAAGCTGAGCCTGCAGCAATGCATCCAGGAACTGTCTAATCTCTTCTGGAGCCTGGCAGTGCGAGTGGCCACTCCTTACACATGTGAATTGTGTGCTGTGCAGGCCAGTTCTTCTTCCTTGCTTTTAAAATCTGCATTGTGAGGATGTCATTGTGTGCCCCAGTTGAAAGCCACTTGCTTTTGCCATACCACCTCTGATAACATAAACCTCTGTGAGATGTTCCTCTGCCTTTTCTTTTAACTCAAATTCTATTTTTTATTCTCTTCTGAAGTCTTCTTTGTCACCTTTCTCTATCCTTCTGTTTTGTCTTTTCTTCTTTGTCCCTTCTTTTCTCCCTAGAGTGATGTTGCCTGCAGTGCTCACAGGGCAGGCTGCGGCCCTGTGGAACAGCATGAAATGCCTTTGAGGATTTAGAAACCTAATATGGTAAAATCGAATTCTTGTTTTCCCTTTTCCTAGCACTCTCTTACACCTCTTTGTTTTCCTTCCATCTCCATCTTCTCTCTTATGCTTACCTTCATATCTGTTTTTGCAGAGAAGAAAAAAGCTTTTACTGGTTTAGAGAAGGAGGTAGGGTGAGGCTGTTGCTGTCCACATCAGCAATCATTCTTGTGTGTTGCTCCCTCTAAGATGCAGGTGGGTTTCTGTTTTACAGTGTGAGCTTCATGTATTGCCGTGCAGAATTACTGCCCTCCATCTGTATAGAGCTGTTACTGTGCCCAGCTGTCCAACCCATCTTCCTCCTAAATTATGAAAAAGAACTTTTCTTGTTATGGGTCCAAAACCCACTGGAATGAGTGAGGAAATCCCTGCTGAGCTCCACACATTTAACCTCAAGTGTCTGTTCTAATTAGTTCAGTTTGGGTGGTAACTTTATAGGGTAGTAACAGTGTCCTATGTACACTTAATAAGTAGTAAAATGCTGGATGCTCTTCATTTTCAAATGTCCTTTTCACTGTGAGCTGTTTTCTTCTCCTTCCCCCCTCCTTTTAGTTTTCAGAGTACATCCAAACTCAAGTTGATACTGGCAAGGGAAAATTAGCTCCTGGCTTTGATTTTGACAAGATTGTTAAAAATATGTTCACCAATCAAGACCGGGATGGAAATGGTAAAGTTACTGCTGAAGAATTCAAGTTGAAAGATCAGGAGGCCAAAGAGGAGCACGATGAACTGTAAAGATAAGGAAAAAACCAAGAATCCTGAGCTGACCTACTGTTCAAACGTGTACCCGAAGGAGTTTTGGCAAGCATGGTTTGGAAGGATAGCCCTCGGATAGCCTGTGTCTGCCTCTGCCTGGGTGTGGGTAGGCTGTTAAAATAGGAACAGATTTTCAGTTGGAATTGTTAGGTGTATCTGAAAAAAGTGTTAAGTGCCTCAATGTGGGATGTATAGACAGGTGTGTCCTGCTGTATGTGGTGCCGTGAACCACATGTGTGTGTGGGGTCTGCTTTTATGCTGAAGATCCAAAGTTCTCAATGAACAATTCACGGTCGGTTGGGTGGATGGTAGAAAGAAAACCTACAAAGTGCTTTTAAAAGAGTTTTAAAAAACCTTCTGTATCAGAAATATTTGTGTAGGAAAATGAACCAAAATATTCCCTGTAACAATAACCTGTAAAAGTTGTCAGCTGTTGATCCCAGTTCCTTTCAGAAGGCATGAGCACTCTTCCCAGTAACAACCAAACTCACATGGATTTTTGCCAGCACAAAATCTGATTTGCAAATTGCAGAAACATGGCTGTGCCATTGCATAATTTACATAAGCTGTGACTTAAATTAAACAGACCTAGAATTGATACTGTGTATGTGTTGGGTTTTTACTTCACAGAATAAAAGCTTCCTACCATCTGTACTGACCTGAATTAGTAACCTTGACTCTTGCTGGCCAGTGTTCCCATCAGTCATTCCAAAACCTTTCTAGTCACAACCTTATTTATAGTTTTGTTAGACATTAAATATTAACATACAGGGCCCAAATGCTGTCATAAATACTGGACACAGTTGGTTTTGTGTTGGGCTTCTGTCTCCTATTTTGGGAATTGATAGATTAAGGAGTACAGCAGAGCAGTCTGCAGTGGCAAACAAACAGACAGACAGTGATAGAACCAAGGAACAGACCCATCTGTTTGTGTGTGCTAACGCTCTGGCCCAGCCCTCAACACAAAGTCATCTTTGAGAGTGCTGCTCAGATTCTGTGACTTGAGGCAGTCACCTGTTATCTCACCAAATGCAGCAGAGCTGCTCCCTACCAAATACACGGAACAGACCCATTTTCTGGAAGGCCGTGGGATCCCCCTCAGTACACAGCATGCAAAGAGCACAAACACACAGAGTGAGACACTGTCAGGGAGGAGTGGGCAGGGAGTTGTATTTCCATTATAAGCTTTGTGTCTAGTTTCTTGCTTTCCTTGATCTGTACATGTGGGATATAAGCTCCCTGAGATGCTCTTTCTAAAAATTGGTATTTCAGTTGGATGAGAACATTTTGTATTGGTTTTTAATGCAGTTCTTACAAAAAGTGCAGTGAAATATTTTTTTGAGTTTGATACCATTAAATGTTGGATAACTGATCTTTTTGTTAAATAAAATATTGATCAACTATTACTTTTAAAGTTTCTTTTCTCTTTCTGGAGTTTTGATGGGTTGAGACCATGAGTTGAAGCAAATGCCCTTCCTGCAGCTCTCTTCTCCTGTACACAGCAGGCTTACCCTGAATATGTTCAATACTGCTATTAATGTTCAGAAAAAAATATTTAAAATGACGATTAATGGATGATTTTATACCAGATGTAGAAGTTGTGGCTATCAGGGACAGGCACTTCCATTCCAGAGTCTGGGTCCAGAATGGCTCCTTACCATCTTGTGAAAGCAGCTCTCTCAGCAGACTGTTTTTCCCTTTTGCTTTCTTGGAAGCAGGTTGCTCACTTTTTGCTGTGGTTCAGATGCAGTCCCTTCTGTGTGCTGACAAAACTGAGAGAAGGAGTGGAAAGCAAATTGTGATTGGAGTACTGCCAGAAGCAGAATTCAATGTGGAAACAGCTCCTTACTCTGTTCTTGTATGTACCCCCAAAAACCAAGTCTGTCTTGTGCATATCCCCCCCCTCCTTTTGCGGGGATGGAACTCTATGGTTTTTAAGGTCCCTTACAACCCAAACCATTCTGTGGTGTCCTAAATAAATGTTTTGTCTGAGAAAAACTTAGTGAATGAGCCCAATGTTTCTGCATGGAGGAACATTCCAGATGGATCCCAGGAGATGGGCTGAAGAGTTCCTAGTAAACCAGGATAACAGACTTGTCCTCCAGGGCAGATGCTGGAGAAGGAGCAGCACTGAACTGCTGTCAATTGGTGATCCCAAAAATTGCTGTGCTGTTTTTTTTGAAGGGCTTGTCAGTGATGGGATAGCAGGGATGACTTTGCCAATGCCTCTGGCTAGGGTAGGTACATCTGAAATTCTTATGCCATTGCTCCTTAAGACTTGGCAAACATGGCTCATGATCCAGCTAAAGATGTTTTTCCTTTAAGAGGAAGTTTTTGTTGCCTCCTCACCTCATCCCTCCAAGCCTGCAGGTTGCCATTGTAGAAATACGAATGCAGCTTTGGGGAAAATCAGAGAATATATGGAAAAATTTGCGATAAAATAATGCTGTTTATATGGGGCATTGCCCAGACAAATCCAAAAGAGGCCAGGTTTGCCTGGCTGTTTTAGGCTAAACTGCTTAAAATCCAGAATTTCTGATCACTAACATAGGAAAAAGACTGGGTCTTACTTTTGGCAGCTATTGGCTTCTCCCTTGAAGGAAGGCTTGGAGCCACCTTCCTCTATGTCAAAAAGCAAATTTTTTTTTAAGGAGAATCTAGCTATTTAGAATTAATCTACCTATCTATTTACAATTCATTTATTTATTAGCATTTTATTGTTAGTACTTAGAATTTACCTGTGTAGAATTTATCTATTAGTATCTACTGTCTCTTAGTATTTAGAATTCACCTGTTTAGAATTACCTGTAGAATCTCTCTATTTTGGATTTATTTATTTATAGAATTAGTATCTAGGTAGTTTTTTATCATACTTAACTGAGATTACTTTATAAAAATAGATGATAGCTCCCAAGGGTCATTAAGAACCAGATGTAACTGGGCTCAGCTAACGAGGGGCTCTCCAGAACTCAGGCTGTTTCTACTCCTCTAATGAAACAGGCAGCTGCTATTCTCAGAGCTGGCAGCTGACTGCTGTTAGGAAAGAAGTTGCTGGCAGCCAAGGTTGGCAATTGGTGACTGAATTGTCAGGGGCGCAGTGGAAAAGAAAAGCAACAGGGGTGCGTACCCAGAAAACCCCAGGTATTTATGAATATTTTTTCTGTGTGATTTTTGTGTCCTAATTTGATAGCAATGCTTTCTGTTGTGTGACTCTATCTGGTGCAAGTATAGCAGACATTATACTTAAATCAGAAATTGCAGTGGTTGAACTTCAACATTATGTTTTTCTTTGTGGAAAAAATATTTGGATTTTCCTTAAAACTTGAAAATGACACATTTAGCTAGTACAGGGTGCAAGTTTTTAGCTCAGTTCAGCACTACCAGTATTTGTTTGACAGTGGGAGGACATTTGAGCTGGCTGCAACACCTG